TGATTGATTCTCGTCACTTTTCTCTGTTTTGGGAAGGTAAAGGGCTTTATATCTCCCACCTCTCTCCCTTGTCTTTTTGGTTGGAGTGAGAAAATATAAAGAAAAGCGAAAGGAAAAGTGAGAGGGAGAAAGAAGCCCTCCTTCCATTCTGAAAAATCTACAGATTTCGAGACAGGAATAGGGGACAATATGGAAATGATTCTTTCTTATTTCTTCACGTTGTCTTCTTTCCCTATATGACTCCCTTGCGATTTCCCTTTTGGTTGGAGTGAGAAGAGACAAAAGAAAAGTGAAAGGACAAGTGAGAAGAAGAAAGGATGCAGAGAAAGGAATAGAACAACTCAGAAGAGACACAGTCTCAGACAAGATAATTTACTGACTTGTGATTGCGTGGCTGCCTTGGCAAGAGTTGTTGCTGGTTTCGCGAGCCGCGGCTTCTAGCCTCCTCTTGCTTGGGCGTGGCCAAGCGCCAGGGAGCAGAAATGCTGCGTTCTTCAAGTTTCAAATTCGTTTCTGTAGTTTCAGACTAGTTGCAAAACAGTTTCAAAATCCAGTTGCGAATTCGTTGTTAAGGGGGAACTGCGTTTTTCTACGCGCAATTGCAAAAAATGCAGGAATCTCTAGAGGTTCTGGTTTTCAACAAGCGCGGACAGAAATTGCAGCTCCTCCTTAACAGCGATATTTCAACTGGATTTTGAAACTAGTTTGAAACTGACTTGAGACTAATTTGAAACTATGGAAACGAATTTGAAACTCGAAACACTACCATATTCCGGACTTTCTGCCCCCCTCCTGGCCCCTCACATATGGCCCTCACGCACGGGAAGTTGACTTTGGTCAGGCGTGACTAGAGACCAGAGCTTCCGAAAGCTTGCCAATCTCCGGACAGTAGGAATAGAGGAATGTGTGGAAATGATTCTTTCCTAGTTCTTCATCTTCTTTCTCCTTTCCCTATGTATGAGAAAAGAAGACAAACAAGGAGAGAGAGCCCCCTGCAATTGGGAATTTCCCCAGAAGAGAGAAAGCGAAAGGGATGCCCCCACAACTTTCACGTTTTTCATAAGAATGTAAGCACCAAGAGAGAAGAGAAAGGAAAAGAGAATAGCGAGGAAAGAGGCAAGGAAACACAGGAGGCAGCCCCTCCGCTTGCTTCTTGAATGAAAAAGACATCGGAGAAATGGAAACATGAAATTGAGAGGGAAGTTGCGCTTTTCCTTGCTGAAGAACAAAGCAATTCCAAAGAACATGGAAAGCACAAGGAATGAACTGGGAAAGGTAGGGAAAGGGATTCTTCCCTCTGACTTTTTTGCTTTCCTTCAATCTGCGATGTAAAGGGAAAAGATGCAGCGGACAGGTTTGAAAATACAGGCAGGTGATCTTTTTTCCTTATTGTCATCATTGTCTCATTTTCTCAGTGGGAAACGTCTCATTTTCTCAGCGGGAAACGTAAAGTGCAAAAAGATAAAAGAAAGAAAGTAGGGAAGAGTGGGAAGGTTCCTTTTTGTGGTGAGAAAGTAGTCGGAAAGCAACAGGAGACTCCTCTTTCATTCTGTTTACCCCTACCTCTTATAGTCTTTTCGGAAGGAAGAGGGAAGAACATACGCGGATAGGAAGGCAGCCTTTCTTTGATGGGGAAAGGAAAGGGATGCGCTGCCCCCTCAATTTTCATGTTGATGGGAATGTAAGCACCGGGAGAGAAGAAAGGAAGAGAGAATAGCGAGGAAAGAGGCAAGGAAACACAGGAGATTAGGAGTCAGGTTCCGGTGATTGATGTTCGTCTCTTGTCTTCTTTTTGAGAAGGTCGCTTTTGGTTGGAGGAAGAAGTCCGCCTTCCATTTTGAAGAATCTGCAGAGATAGGAACGGAAGAAATCACAAGAGACACGGATAGAGGACATTATAGACTTGATTCTTTCTTATTTATTCATCTTCTATCTTCATTCCCTATATGAACACAGAACAAAGACAAGGAGAGAGAGCCTCCTGCAATTGGGAATTTCCCCAGAAGAGACAAAGTGAAAGGGATGTCCCCCGCACCTTTCACACTTTTGAGAAGAATGTAAGCAACAGAAGAGAAGTGAAAGGAACTCATAATAGTGAGCAGGGAGGCGAGGAAAGACTGGAGGCAGACCTTCTTTCCGGGTGAGCAGGACGAAACAAGAGAATGTAAAGATGTAAGTCGGGAGGGAGGCTGGTAGCCGTTCCTTTCTTTTCCGAACCAAAGACAAAGAGGAAGGAATGCAGGATAGCGCGTAGGATCGCGTAGGAGAGTACGGTGTGTTTTTGTCATTTTTTGGAGATGATACCGCGGTTTCTGGGTACTCTTTTCTCCTGCATCTGAAGGCATTCTCACGTACCGTTTTTTATTTGAGTTTATACTACACGGGCCCCCAAAATTGGTCAATTTTTGCGATTTTTTACTATGTTGTAGGATTCTTTGAGCAAATTTTCAGTTTTTACTGATTCTAAGCTAAAAAAGTACATTTAAAATTATTAAAATTATTAAAATTATTAAAATTATTAAAATTATTAATTTCTGCCCTGAGAGGCTCCCGGAAAATTAAAATTATTAAAATTATTAAAAATTATTAAAATTATTAAAAATTATTAAAATTATTAAAATTATTAAAATTATTAATTTCTGCCCTGAGAGGCTCCCCGAAAATTAAAATTATTAAAATTATTAAAATTGTTAAAAATTATTAAAATTATTAAAATTATTAAAATTATTAAAATTATTAAAATTATTAAAATTATTAAAATTGTTATTTTCTGCCCTGAGAGGCTCCCTGAAAATTAAAATTAGAAAAAATATTAAAATTATTAAAATTATTAAAATTATTAATTTCTGCCCTGAGAGGCTCCCGGAAAATTAAAATTATTAAAATTATTAAAATTATTAAAATTATTAAAATTATTAAAATTATTAAAATTATTAAAATTATTATTTTCTGCCCTGAGAGGCTCCCCGAAAATTAAAATTATTAAAATTATTAAAATTATTAAAATTATTAAAATTATTAAAATTATTAAAATAATTAAAATTATTAAAATTATTAATTTCTGCCCTGAGAGGCTCCCGGAAAATTAAAATTATTAAAATTATTAAAATTATTAAAAATATTAAAATTATTATTTTCTGCCCTGAGAGGCTCCCGGAAAATTAAAATTATTAAAATTATTAAAATGATTAAAATTATTAAAATTATTAAAATTATTAAAATTATTAAAATTATGAAACCATTAATAATTAAAACTTTAATAATTTTAATAATTTCAATAATTTTAAGAATTTTTAATTTTCCGGGAGCCTCCCAGGGCAGAAATTAATATTTTTAATAATTTTAATAATTTTACTAATTTTAATAATTTTAATTTTCCGGGAGCCTCTCAGGGCAGAAATTAATAATTTTAATAATTTTAATAATTTTAATAATTTTGATAATTTTAATAATTTTAATAATTTTAATAATTTTAATAATTTTAATTTTAATTTTAATTTTAAAATTATTTGAATAATTTTAATAATTTTAATAATTTTAATAATTTTAATAATTTTAATTTTCCGGGAGCCTCCCAGGGCAGAAATTAATAATTTTAATAATTTTAATAATTTTAATAATTTTAATAATTTTAATAATTTTAATTTTCGGGGAGCCTCTCAGGGCAGAAATTAATAATTTTAATAATTTTAATAATTTTAATAATTTTAATAATTTTAATAATTTTAATTTTCCGGGAGCCTCTCAGGGCAGAAATTAATAATTTTAATAATTTCAATAATTTTAATAATTTTAATTTTCCGGGAGCCTCTCATGGCAGAAATAATATTTTTAATAATTTTAATAATTTTAATAATTTTAATAATTTTAATTTTCCGGGAGCCTCTCAGGGCAGAAATTAATAATTTTAATAATTTTAATATTGTTAATAATTTTAATTTTCCGGGAGCCTCTCAGGATTATTAAAAATATTAAAATTATTAAAATTATTAAAATTATTAAAATTAAAATTATTAAAATTATTAAAATTATTAATTTCTGCCAACGTCCTTTTGAAATCCGACCGTAGGGTCTATTTAGAAGCCGTGCTCTTCTAGGTTTATTACATTTAGGTATATGGACCTGTATTATAAATCACAAGCCCCAGCTTCTAAATAGACCCGGTTTTGCTCACACACGGGGGGTGGGGGTGCCCAAAAGGTTGGCGCATCTGCACCAGCGAGCTCTGAGATGGGACCACCAGAGGATCCAGTCGTCTTGCTGTCTGGGAGTCTTTTGGGGTCTTTTGTCTAGGGTTTTTGTTTGGGCGGGGGGGGGGGGGGGTTAGGATTTTAGGTGTTGGGTTCAATTTTGTGTTTTAGTTTTATCTATTATGGGGTCAGGGGTTTCGAGTCGGGCTCCCCTAAACCCTAAACCCTAAACCCTAAACCCTAAACCCTAAACCCTAAACCCTAAACCCTCATGTTTGACTGCCATCAAGGTGCCGAGCTCCTTCTGTGCTGAAGACCTGGGGACTGTCGAGTGCGACTTGCGGGCTTTGGTGGAAACCCTAAACCCTAAACCCTAAACCCTAAACCCTAAGCCCTAAACCCTAAGCCCTAAACCCTAAACCCTAAACCCTAAACCCTAAACCTAAACCCTAAACCTGATCCTTCAAGGCCCGAAGAAGGGCAGCTTGGGACCTGTCATGAAGGTGCTCCTGGCTAGGAAAAAAGGTGCTCTCTTTGACACTCTCTTGTGATGCTTGCAAACCCTAAACCCCAAATCCCAAACCCTAAACCCTAAACCCTAAACCCTGACATGCAAAATAGGGTTACCTTTGTGGGGGGGGGTTCTTGTAGTACGGATTATCGTCTTTTAGGATATCTTAATGGCAACCCATGCTTACCCCGGTCTTGGGAAATATCCATGCTGGATGACAGTTGGTCGCACAAGCAGTGTTGACATTCAAAGCCCGAAACCCTAAACCCTAAACCCTAACCGCCACCCCAACTCAGGTCAAGTATGGAATGGGGATCATCCTCTGCCTACTTGGCTGCCAAATGATCCTAGCTCGCGTGATTTTGCTGCAGCCGCTTCTGCCACGTGGACTGCACCATGAGCTGCCTGACAGTAATATAAGGGTCGGAAGAACTACTAGTAGTATTCCCTTGTGGTCCCTTTGTAATTATACTATAATCACCCCCAAAATCCGGTTCTAATGATTAAGGCCCCTATAGTAGCTGCGCCAGTTGCTTGCCTCTAGTATCAAGCTCTCGCGCCTGCTCCCAAATAAGGGTGTGTCTAGTAGTCGAGCCGAAATAAGTTCAATCTGCGGGTCTTCAGTCGTGTGCAGTCAACAAGTTCCTGTTGCGGCATTATGTATTTATAGAGAGGCCAAGGGCGCATGCTTGCTTTGGCTCCAAAAAGGCTTAGTTATAGAGTAGGCAACCTTCAACACTTTAACCTTTTTGAGGCCATGGAACCCCCGCAATAATCCCAAAGGTTACCCTTGAGTTCCCCTCAGCGCACACCGAAGCTCCCAAAGGTTCACCTTTAGTTCCCCTATAATTACTGGACAAGCTCCTAAAGGTTAACCTTTAGTTCCCCTAATTACTGGACAACTAGGAGCACTCTGAAAGGTTAACCTTTAGTTCCCCTAATTACTGGACAACTAGGAGCACGCTGGGGTTTGGGGTTTAGGGTTTAGGGTTTAGGGTTGAAGTGCCCTTAGTAGTAGAGTAGGTAGCCTTGGACCCTTTTGGAGTATTCTAATCCCCGTAAACTCCCAAACCTGACGCTTTAATTCCCCCAGGAGACTGGAGAGCTAAGTGCCTGAAGTGCCAAGGACGTGCGGCATGATGCTCGCTATCATCGTGGCAGGGGGGCACAGCTTGGAGACCGATGTGTCAGATGACGCTAGTAAACCCTAAACCCTAAACCCTAAACCCTAAACCCTAAACCCTAAACCCTAAACCCTAAACCCTAAACCCCAGAAAGCAAAAAGCCAAGTCCCAAAGTAAGAAGCCTTGGCCCCTGCCGAGTTTTTCGTCGTCATGTCTGCGGTGATGCGGCCGAAGGCGGAGGACGGCGACAAAGGCCAGGCCTTGAAGGAACCCTAACCCTAAACCCTAAAATCTCAGCCCTAAAGCCTAAACCCTAAACCCTAAACCCTAAACCCTAAACCCTAAACCCTAAACCCTAAACCCCAACCAGGTAGATGGGGTTTTTGAAGATTTTAGATTTATCGGTGGAGGGCTTCGGGGCTTGTATTGTCTCGGGTTTAAGGTTCAGAATTTGGGGTTTAGGGGTTTCGGTTTGGGAGTCTCTGTCTGGCTTCGCATGACCCCATGTACCCTCGTTGTGCAGGCAGCAGTCCAAGTGGTAGTGAGAAGGCGCTTGATACAAATGATCCAAATAGATCCATTACGTTTTAGCGATATCACACGGGGTGGATCAGTTGAATGGGAGGGCTGACTGTTCTTTGCTATGATGGCTATGATGGCTATGATTGTTATCATTGTTATCATGTGCATCAGAGAATCATCACCATGTCCATTACTATGACTCTTGTCACTGTTGGCTTCGTTCCAATGAGGATCCACCCCGCAGCTCTCAGCCATCAAAGAAGGTCTGGGAACTCTAGTTCGATGGACCCAAAAGGGGTTTTCAGAATGCAAAAGCTTCTTTGCTCGCAGTCTTTCTCACCGAGCTACTCTGAGCCCTCTACCTGCAGGTTCATTGGTACGTATAAGTGGGGCTATAAGTAGGGTAGCTATGATTACCCATGAACCTTGAAGTTATCCTGTATAAAGATGTACTGTCCAGAGGACATGAGTTACTCCTCGCAGCTTCGTCTTCGGTCTATCATGGGTGGCGCTCAATCCAGAGTTTAGGGTTTACAGGATTTGGGTTTACCATGGGTCGCACGTTCGCCGCTTCATCACAAGCTTTGAAGGTAGTGCCGCATGCACATGTCTGTCATGAGGTTCCTCATGAGTCGAGCTGCTTTCCCCGCCCCCCCCCCCACCACCACCACAACAACAAATCTGGCCGAACACACAGCGTGCTGATCCATGTTTGAACATCCCAACGCTGTGTTTTGCAATCTGCACGCAGCACAGAGGCGCAGACATGCAGACAAGAGCAAATCTTAGTCATAGTTGAGTAACATTTTACATTTTTAAGGGTACTTTAACCCAATAAGGAATAGAAATTTAAGTTTTTAATACTATCCCAACCATGAACTAGAAATGAATGGAGCTGTCATTGGGATTGTGGAGCTGTTTAAAGTCCCTGCTGGCTTCATGCTGCTGCGACGCTGATGGCGCTTTTGCGATCATTGCCGCTTCCGTGCAATATGACGCTTTCAGTTGCCGATGCTCTTAAATCACCCCCAAACCCAGCCGGCCAAAGCTGGCCACGTCTACTCGAATGTTGGCAGCGGTTTCAAGTAGGGTGATCTGTACTTTACCGAACCTGATTCGTCAGGGTTTGACGACTAGACATCGTGTTTCTCTTACTTGCCACCCGTAAACCTTTCAAGTAGCAGCCTTTCAGCAGGCCCCGGCTGCTCAATCGCTTGCCGAAGAAGCCGTCGATAACGGTCCAAACCTGAGACATGTAGCTGTTGCCTGAGAAGCCCTGCACTAGCCTACTATTTGCTTAAGAACCCCAGAAAGAATAGAAAAAATGATTTTCCCTATGTTGCCCTTAATAAGGAAGATTATCTATTTTGCCGGGGTTCTTAAGCAATTGATAGTAGCCGCAGCCCGCATTTGTGCTGAAGCACCATGCCAGTCGCATGTTTGCCACACTCTGCAACAAAGGAAGGTTTGGAGACCATTCGTGTATGAATTCAGGTTTTAACTTTCGAGGAAGTTCAGAGTGTAGCGCAGGATTCGAGGCAGACAGCGCTACCTACTCCGAGAGATTCCCAGCTTGCACATCTCATGTTTGACCTGTGCGTTTCACGCCAAGGAGTTGGCCTGCCAGCTCCTCAAGAGAAGGGCTCCCTGGTTTTAGGTGTTCAGGGCTGCAGGTGTGAGTTTGACGAAGGGTTCCCGACACTCTCTGCCTAATCCTCTGCAGCGCAGTTTCGCAATGACCGTTGTTCGGAAACGGTGCTCAGGCGGTCGCTGCCACCACAAGATAGATACCAAAGAGGGCCTCCAGCTCTTTCTGAGGCTGGGAGAATGTTAGGTAGGCCCTGAAAATGTTTCATGTTTCTCCTTGTTGGGATCTTTTTAATCATGAACTATTTTTCAGAGGGTTTCAAAGGCCATCCTAGAATCGAACGGGGTAGGGGGAGGGCGGGGAGGGGTAGTAACAGCAGCCCGACATCTCTGAGTCGAAGCCTCCCCGGAAATCTTGAAGAAGCGTAAGCCCCAAAAGACGCATAAGTTGCAAGATCCTCTAAGCTGTACAGGCACAAGGCAGGGTGCAGTAGGCCAAGATGCTGCTGTGCTCGTGCTTGCAGATTACCGGGGGGGGGGGGGGGGGGGGGGGAGCTAAACCCTAAACCCTAAACCCTAAACCCTAAACCCTAAACCCTAAACCCTAAACCCTAAACCCTAAACCCTAAACCCTAAACCCTAAACCCTAAACCCTAAACCCTAAACCCTATAAACCCTAAACCCTAAACCCTAAACCCTAAACCCTAAACCCTAAACCCTAAACCCAATCTACTTTAGCATCGCATGTCAGGAAGCTTGCGCTAGAGAGGGATGCTGGCCCGGAGACTTCTGAGATGTTGAGAGTCGATTTGCAGACCGCTGGGGACAGGCGCCACATGCCAGATGCCTCCTTCCAAGCAAGGACACGAGGGCGATTTTGATGTGCAAGTCGAGGCTTCTCCTTGTCAGTGCTGCCGCAAGGCAGCATTTCTTTGCTCACAGCAACACGAGATGCAAGTTGCTCTGGACTTGAGAACCCCTTGCTATGCAGCTTTGGCTGTAGATGAAAGTCTTAGACTCAGGCGTGCAAGCTCTGAAGTGAATCTGACGTACAAGTCATGAACACTGCCACGCACAACAAAGATACTTGGCTGATTGCCCGCCAAAGCATCCGCAGCCCTCAAAGATTTCCATCTCAGCCCCTGATTCCAAAATCGGTGCCTCACTTTTCAGGACTACGCGCATACGCCGTTTGGGAGTAGACCTCTTAATAGCAATCCCTACCTTCTTTCCGCGCTCCGCTTTGACGCCGAAACTCGACTTGGAGGTCATACGTCGGGTTATAAGTTGGGTAACTATACGTACAACCTTACTCAAGGTACTTATAACCTTACTTTGAACTACCCAACCCTAAACCCTAAACCCTAAGAAAACCCCCCCAAACCGCAGGATGAGCCTTGGGACCTCGGCCCTGGGATCGCGAAAGCAGGTCGGAATTTACGACCCAGGCAGGGAGGGTTGACATTTCAGGGTTGAAATGGTTGACTTGTGGAAGGGTTAGGGTTTAGGGTTTAGGGTTTAGGGCTTAGGGCTTAGGGCTTAGGGCTTAGGGCGTAGGGTTTAGGGTTTAGGGTTACCCAGCCCCCACATCCCCCCCCCCCCCCCCTCTTGAGGATCCCTTAAAGATATTGAGATAAGCCAGCTCTGCTCTGACTGGGCGGCATTCATGCAAAGCAAAAAGCTGAACCAAAATAGTAGTATAGTGTACTATTTGGGAGTTCTACTTTTTGAATCCTCCCAAGGGTCTGGGTTGAAGGCTGTCCTCGGGTCTCTTGGACGTCGCGTCGTTTCGTTTCATGCCAAGCCTGCAACCCTAAACCCTAAGCCCTAAACCCTAAACCCTAAACCCTAAACCCTAAACCCTAAACCCTAAACCCTAAACCCTAAACCCTAACCCCAGCATCTGTCAGGTTGATGCCCTTTTTGTTGTGTGTTAGTGCTAGCCGGCTTTGCAAGTAAGGGATATGAGGTGTTGATTTGTCTCAGCTTGAATGAGGAGTGTCCTCCGTCCTTGGAACTGAGGGTTCGCGGCGTAGAGTTTCGGAACTATTCGTTCTCTTCTCGATCGGTTGGTTGTGATGCAGTGCGAGGCTCGGACCTGGAAGTGTTGTTCGATGTCCGGCTGGGTTCTCGAGTTTAGGGTTTAGGGTTTAGTGTTTCCAGAACTTAGGGTTTAGGGTTTAGGGTTTCCATAGCTTTGGAAGTAAGCTGCCTTGCCGCGCAGCTCGGATCTCACCACCATCTCGGCAGGCGCCGCCGGGATGTCAGGGCTACACAGTGCTGCGTTTGCTGATTGTTCTCATTCCCAGTGGGCTTCGGTCAAAGGTTGTCAGTGAGCCTTTGCGCCCTTGCAACCAGAGATGTCGTGAAGTTTTTGCTGCATTCCGATGGCTAGGACAGCTCAAGGGCGAAGTGTTGCGCAGGCAACAAAGAGTGCATGCCCTTCCCATTGCATGCAACGCCACACCCGGCGAGAGGCAAGAAGAGCAAGAAACGATGTTGTTTGCTGTTGCATCCTTGTAGTCAGTGCAATCATCGCATAATCACCAGTCCATCGCAGATAGGCGTGTACTGGGCAATGGGCAGCGGAGCTGCTATTCCACTGCCTCCTGGGCCGACTGGGTTCCCCACCGATAGTCGTGGCAGATGGCGAACCAAAGAGATGCCACAGAAAGCAGGCAGCCAGGCCAACGGCTTTTCGGCTACACTTAGGTCCCCAAGTAGTACCCTTATTCCCTTGTCTGGTTTTGTGAAACGGAGTAGTAAGAAAAAGGGTGCCCCTGTTGTTCAGGAGTTCCTGGGGAACCTAGTACACTGTAATTTTCTTGTGGGTACTTTTTTGCCTGATGCTGCCATTGAAACAATGTGACTTGTGCTTCTTTTCTAGGAGCTCACCTGTGTCCATAATGCATGAATGGAGTGCGTGAACTTTGGACTGCTTCTGAAGTTTCCGAGAAGTGCCTGAAGGGCAGGGATAACCTTTGACCCAACACCCCAAGCCCTTAACCCTAGACCCCCGAAACTCTAAACCCTAAGGCCCTGAATCCTAAACCATTTGAGCTTTGGGACCCTTATCCACCACCTCGAGGCCTTCACGCTTCTTCGTTCTTTCGTACCTGAGCCCCGGAAGGTCGAAAACTTTGAGGCCCTCAAACCCATGGCCCAAGCACGCCCGAGCCCTACATCCTACTGTACATGAACTTTGGTGTTTTTGAGAGATCCTGTCCAGAATCCACAAGCTCTTTAAGGCTTGCAGGCGTTTAAGATTCGTTTTTCGGGGGCTCTCTGAGCTTCAGGGGAGGATGAAAGCCAAAAACTTTGTGGGCGTGCTGATGCAGGGCTTCCAAGACACATGGGGCACCTTTGTGGGGTCCTTGTTAGAAGGGGATCCTACTATTTGGGGGTCTATTTGTAGTGGTGCCCTATTTTCGTCAACCCCACATGTGTTGCACTGCTGACACGACAGCCCAGGCCACGAGACAGTGCTCACCGAACTTGAGGATGCTTCCTACACCTTGCTGCCTGGGCCATGGTGCCCACCACTGAAGCCTCTGCGGCCGTGCGAAGAGGCAGCTCTGCGCAAGGCACCGGAAAGGCGAGAGGCCTTGCAGAAGAAGCTTCGCAATGAGATGGCGCGCTACTTCGCCGGACAGGCACCTCTTTCCTTCTGAGATGGGCCCCTCTTCCTATGCCATCTGGGGGGGCGTTTCAAAAGGTGCCGTCACGGTTCGAGCGGCCCGAGTTTTAACAGCGTAGGACGGCGTAGGATGTACCCTTGGGAACACCCGGTTCCATCCCGAAGGTATGTCAACCTGCTGAGCAGACGCCATGAAATGATGTCATTTTGCATGAGATCCTGTTATGGACCTCCTCAGGCTCCAAGACTGCATGCTTCGAAGTATAACATCCGTTGCTGGCGCTTTTTGCTGTGCTACATCCCAGAGCCCTGGATCACCCTAAACCCTAAACCCTAAACCCTAAACCCGTTTTTTCACCGACTCGACTGCACCCGCCAGGTCCGGGAAATCCTTGTGGGAGGCAAAATTGGGTGCCGGGATCTCAGAGCAGACGGTCACGTTTAGCTGCTGGCAAGCGGGAAGCACAGCACATCCTAAGTTGAACAGCCCTAAACCCTAAACCCTAAACCCTAAACCCTAAACCCTAAACCCTAAACCCTAAACCCTAAACCCTAAACCCTAAACCCTAAACCCTAAACTTACAGAGCCGTCTGGGAGCATGGTCGGGAAGCTGGGTCGGGCCAGGATGGGGCTTGTCGTCCGTCGTTGGCAGTGCAAGCCGCTGACCTGTGACATGCTTCGAACGTGAAGTAGGGTTTATATAATATATATATATATATATAATATACTTCTGTTCTTGGTGAGTGTATATATAAGGTTCCTTTTAAAGATGTGTGAGAGTATATTCCGGGTGTCCTTTTGGGGTTACAAGAAATATATACCCTGCTTCAATGTATTTACAAGATTTCGGGCTTAGGGTTTAGTGGTTTAGGGGTTTAGGGGTTTACGGGTTTAGGGGTTTTACGGGTTTAGGGGTTTAGGGGTTGAGGGGTCTTAGGGGTTGAGGGGTTTGGGGGTTTATTGCCGAAGTTGACCTTCCCCAACTGAATCCCGAGACCCTATGTCACCCTGAACCTGGCAGCTCCTCCATGCGGCCACGTGCTATGAACACTCTTCTTACTGCTGGTTAGTAGGGAATGAGGGGATGAGGTACCCTCTATCCCCCTATATATATATATATATACCCTTTAAGGGATGATAGGGTACCTCATTCCCTCACTCCCTACTAAGCAACAGTAAGTCCTAGGTCCTCGCTGCGGTGCGGTGGAGTGGAGGGTGGGATGCCGAGCATTACTTGAGCACTTGCTTGCTGCTGGGTGTGGCTGGAGTTGCATACGTTTGTGGCAGCGATTCGAATCGATCTCAGGCCCTGCGCTGAATCAAGCAGCGGAGCCCCAGTGAATGTCATGAGGTGAGCTAAGTTGCGATAAGTGACCGGCAAAGACCCAGAGTCCCAGAGCAGGAGAAAGAGAGCAAGCCCTGCAGACGAACGGGAGACCTCGCGAGCGCGTGTGATTCTACGTGGTTCTACTACACAGGAAAGCTGCACACGCAGATCCGCTTTGTTTCACCACATTTCACCTCTTTTTCCTCAGCCCGACATCTCGCAGCAAACGATCAACCTCGATTTGTCCAAAGACTCGCGCGATTTGCTATCCCTTGCGCTGCTCTGACGCTGCATGGATGAAGAAGTCACTGCGGCAGCCAGCGTCAGGCAAGCGAGAGCACGAAGCATCGCCAACCCCGAAAGCCCCTAAACCCTAAACTCTAAACTCTAAACCCTAAACCCTAAACCCCATCAAGAATCTGCGACTTGGCTTCCACTTTGGTTTTTGGCTCCGAGCTGTTGCCGGGCGCGCTGTGGCCCACGCCGGTGCCTCAGTCATAGGGTTTAGGGTTTTGGGTTTAGGGTTTAGGGTTTAGGGTTTAGGGTTTAGGGTTCCTCTTGGGTTGTCGGTCTGTTTGACGGCTTTCGGGGCGCTCGACAAGCTGAGGGACCTTGCCATGCTTTTGACTTTCCGGAAGGAGTGGAGGGCTGGTCACCCAAACCCTAAACCCTAAACCCTAAGCCCTAAACCCTAAGCCCTAAACCCTAAACCCTAAACCCTAAACCCTAAACCCTAAACCCTAAACCCTAAACCCTAAACCCTACACCCTAAGCCCTAAGCCCTAAGCCCTAAGCCCTAAGCCCCAAGCCCTAAGCCCTAAGCCCTAAGCCCTAAGCCCTAAACCTAAACCCCCTTGTTTTTCAACTTCAGCCTTTTCGGGTGCCTCAGGACTGTAAGCTGGGGTTCCTGAGATGGCCTTGAGCATCAGCACCTCTAGGACCCAGAGTCGGGCCCTGATTCTCTGTAATTTTAGGGTGTAGGGTTTAGGGTTTAGGGTTTAGGGTTTAGGGTTTTTGTATTCCTAGATTACTCCTGGGTCTCGACCTCAGCCCCTTGGGGCGAACCACTATAAGAGGCGAAAACCTTGTAATCGCTGGGCGCGCTGTGGCTCATTGCTCGTTTCAGGTCCATTCCCACGGGCTTTCAAGGATTCAGGGTATTTAGGCTTCCCCTCCTGAGGTTTTGGTCTGTATCCCAAGTGTGCCAGTGTCAAAGTTTGGGAGAGTTAGCAGTACCGCAGGGCTTTAGGGTTATGGGCTCCTTGCCCGCTGCATAGCCTCCAGTCTTCCTAAACCCTAAACCCTAAACCCTTAAATCTTCCGAAACAAGCACGTCCCACGAAAGCAGTAGAATTTTTGCATAGGGTCTTGGGGCTAGCCATTTACCATCCTTTCAGCCGCTGTCGGCCCCTTAAAGACATATCTGCCCCGATGGCGTCGACTCGGCGCTTGACCCGAAGTGCGCTCGCGACATGCGCTGCTGTGAGCTTAGCTTCAGGGTTTAGGGTTTAGGGTTTGGGGTTTGGGGTTTAGGGTTTCGGGTTTAGGGTTTAGGGTATAGGGTTTAGGGTTTAGAGCAAGTGTGCGGTGGCTGGCGGATTTTGGGGCCATGGGCCATGCGGCATGGGTTTTGAGTTCTGCGCGTTGCGCATTCACCTATAGGCGGGTCTTATTTGTGTAGAACCGCCACGTCAATGCGGATTGGGTGTGGCGGGGTCCCCCACCAAGTTTGAGCGGGCCTGTATCGGACAAGTAGTTTCGCAATACGAGACACTTAAGGAAGTTCCCAGCCTTTCAGAAGCCTCTTTGCATACTGCTGTGCACTCAACGAATTTAGCGCTGTAGGTATGCTCCCCCTTATACTGACAGTCCTTAATCGGGATTACACTAGGGGGGGGGGGGGGGGGGAGGATTGTTAGTATAAGGGGGAACATCCCAGCCGAACTCAGATCGGAGTGAGGCACTGGTTGCCGTTCGCACGTCGCGAGATGCCGAGGCACGTGCAACATCGTGCAACCATCCCTTGTCGGAGAGCATGGGTTTACCGGGTGGGATTAGGGTTGAGTGCAGGGTTTGGGTTTCCGACCGACGTGATGCAAGAGAGGCCACTTATGTTCCAGAGGGCCCAATGCCTCTTAATGAATCATCACGCCTTAAATACTTCACAAGCAGGACCTCTTTGTATACCCTCAACGCCATGTATTTCCCCAAATAGGGGTACCCCTTTTATACCCCAAATAGAATAGAATTCCCTTAAGGGGACCCCAAACAAGGCACCCCTATTTCGGAAACTCTAAACCCTAAACCCTAAACCCTAAACCCCAAACCCTAAACCCTAAACCCTAAACCCTAAACCCTAAACCCTAAACCCTAAACCCTAAACCCCATGTTAACTCTCATCTTTTCATCCACATCCGCTCCTTTGCCAGGGCTTCGTGCCTCGACACAGGGCACCTTTGAGCCGGGCGCGCTCTCAGGGGCTCAACAAGCAGAGAGCTAAAATGTCAGCCTAAGGGTCCATGTACCATATTATGTATATATATATATATACATATATGTATATTATATGTATATGTGTATATATTTACACATCATTTGTTTATTCATTTAATTATTTATTTAGTTATTTGTTTGTTTGTTTTTATAGTATATATATATAGACATATGCATACATACCCTATGGCTCCATGTACCATGTTTTATTTCCCTTATAGTATCGAGTTTAGGGTTTGGGGTTTAGGGTTTAGGGTCTAGGGTTTAGGGTTTAGGGTTTAGGGTTATAGTATATCTGTGGGCCCTAAGCTACTACATAGGAACCCCGTTAAGGCCCAAGTACATACTATACGAGTACACAGACCATTTGGTTTTTGGGGCTCAGGTTCAATTCCACAAGTAATCGTACCGAAGCCCGGCAGAAGTCGTAAAAAGGTGGAGTTCTTCCATGCCCCAAATTGGTGAAGAGTCCCTAACTTAGGGTGCTTTTCAAGAGTCCTTGTTTTACGTATTATGAAACATGCCCTTTAGGATTCTTTGAACTGATCCCCCCCTCCCCTCTCTCAACCGGGGGGGGGGGGGGGGGAGGGGGACCATAACATAGAGTGCAATAATCAAAGTAATCATAATGATACGCACAATTTTAATACTACTAATAGTAATGATCAGAATAAAAGTAATAATAGAAATAGAAATAGTACTAATAACAATAATCTAGTGCTAATCATAAGCAGGACCTATGCACAACCTTTGCGAGCGCAAGGGCCTGTCTGGCGGTATAAGATCTCGACCTCGGGCTTCGTCTAGGGCGTGAGACGCAATCACTGCCTCGTGTGAACCTCTTGGGTTTAATTAGGGTTTAGGGTTTAGGGTTTAGGGTTTAGGGTTTAGGGTTTAGGGTTTAGGAGCCCCCTTACCGATACCCTCATAGAATAGGGCTCCGTGTCAGGGCTTCGTCGCGTGCGCCGGGCGGACGGACCACAGCGCGTATCAAGCCAAGGCGAGGGCAGGTTTTGGGGGTCAGCGAGCTTTGAGGCATTAGGCTTCGGGTGCTTTGACAGATTCTGAACTCCAGACTTGCCAGGGTTTAGGGTTTAGTTTAGGGTTTAGGGTTTAGGGTCTAGGGTCTAGGGTCTAGGGTCTAGGGTTTAGGATCTAGGGTTTCGGGTACATTCCAGCCATTGCTTTCCTTGGCGCACCTCGACAAACCCCA